TACGAGGGTATTTTAAAAAGTACTTGTTTGATGGGCCTTTGTGTGTTTTTAAAACCATCACAAATAGCAGTATGACAATCTACCCAGATACCTTGAGTTCTCAACAATAAGATTTTCATCTTCATCCTCAAATCCGAACTCGTTTCCTTGCTTTACAGCCAATCTTCGGACTTCGGTATCTTTCCATAATAGAATAGTGCGACTTTCTCTATAGTCCTTATTATACCTTGCTCGAAATGCCATTTTCACAAGAAAGGTGACAGAAAAAAGACAATTCGCTTTATTCCCAAGGTCACTGTTTTTTTTTCCATGGTAACCAAGTAAAATATGACATATGAAAGAACAATTTTCATCCTTTAATTTCCACGGCTGTTTAGATTTTTCAAACAAATCACCAAGTCACTTATCTTCTCAATTGTAATTTGTATACCTAATACCTATACACATACAGCTGTATGCAACATCCTCTTTTAACTTAAAAGCGCTTTTAAAAACTGGTATCTTTAAAAATTTGTATGACTTAGAATACACTTTTTTAAAAGTGACCAGTTTTAAAAAGCGCTTTTAAGTTAAAAGAGGATGTTGCATACAGCTGTTAGACCCTAGGCCAAGAAATCATGAGGCAAAAAACTTTTTGCACGACCATAGCGAGAAGTGGAATTCATTGAAAAATAGAAAGACACTTTCGTCACAAACCTACAATTTTTCACACTTTTGGACATTAACTCATTTACCTTCAAACATTTTTAGTTAAGGAAAGATAAAATAATAGTACATTATATACCTAGGTAGAGAAGTTGGTCAATATATACCGAGCGCGTTTTATAATACGTAAGATATATAATGACTTTCTCTACCGAGGGATATATAGAATTTTTTTTCCTACTGCTAGTAGAAAATAAAAAATAGATTTGAAACTTGTGCTCAAATTATTTTCTCTTCTCGGAAGTGCTGCCCTCTATCAACAGCTTACGGTAATTTCCTATAATTACATACATACATACAGGAATCTGCTTTTTTTTTTTTAAATTGACAGTTTGACACTGAAATTAAACCAATAGAAACCTGTTACGTTATGACAATATCCTTGCGTCATGACGTCATTTTCATTATTGACCTAGGTATTTTTTCATTATTTTCATTATTAACCTAGGGAGAGAAATTCAATTTTTTCTCAGAAAAATAAATTGAATAATGACTATTTCTCAGGTTAGTAGTAAAAAAACAACATTATTGTTATAAATCTTTTAAGTTGGGAAAATTCTGCACTATCTGACAACTTTGGCTGATAACAAAAAATAATTCACAAAAATGCAATTTTACCACGCGTAGTCATGAGGCTGTGTTGTCAGATTGTGCACAATTTATAGGGTATTTGCAAAAAAAAAAAATTAAGAAGTTCCATTATATTTTTATAAGAAAGAGTTATTGATTGATTATTTTGTGAAAAATTTAAAATTGAAAATTATCATTATTTTAAATTTTTTAAAACGATTTTGATTGGTTTACGTCACAACTTAAACGTTATCAAATCAATCTCCTGGAGATTTTCTCCATAATATATTTCATCAAGGCCCTGTTCATCCATCTTCAGATAAACTTGCTACCTATTGGTCGGCGGATAACTGACTGACCAATGGAATTACAGATTGCGTTTTTATACCATAGAGTGCATACCTGACAGTTTATTAAAAGGTGAATAAATCGGCTTTAAATAAATATGTTACCGGCGTTGCCGGATCATTTAAGATGATAAAGCAGGTTTTTTCAAAAAAAAAAAAAAAGGTTTTTTTTTCTCTCTCTGTCTAGCATACGTTTCTGGTGATAAGTCTGTCTTTGTTCGACTCATTTGTTTTAAGAAAAAATACCTAAAATGGAAAATCAGGAAAGGGCAAAAAAAAAATTTGGAAAAACAATTCAATTTTTTCCAAAAAAAATCCGAACATGTCTGTCTTTGTCGCACACATTCATAAAAAAAAGTACCAAATATTTTCCACAAAAATTTCATTAATCGGAGACAAAAAATCTGAGTGAACATACTAAGAAAAAATTTGACAGAAATTTGAGACAAAAAAAAGAATTTAAATTTAAAAAACATCGTATAATGTGTCTCTCTCCCTCTCTCTGTCTAGCACACGCTACTGGTAATAAGTCTGTCTTTGTTCCACCCATTTGTTTTAGGAAATAATACTTAAAATAAAAAATCAAAAAAGGGCAAAGAAAATTTGGAGAAATTTTTTCCAAAAAAAATCCGAACTTATCTGTCTTTGTTTAGTACACGCTTCTGGTCATAAGTGTGTCTTTGTCGCACACATTCGTAAAAAAAAAGTACCAAATATTTTCCACAAAAATTTCATCAATCGGAGACAAAAAATCTGAGTGAACATACCAAGGAAAAATTTGACAGAAATTTGGGACAAAAAAAATGGATTTTTTTTTTCAAAAAAATTTCAGATTGCCTTTCTCTCTCTGTCTAGCACACGCTTCTGGTAATAAATTTGTCTTTATTCCACTCATTTATTTCGACAAAAAATACCTAAAATGGAAAATCAGAAAGGGGCAAATAGAAAATTGGGAAAAACAATTCAATTTTTTCCAAAAAAAATCCGAACATGTCTGTCTTTGTTTAGTACAGGCTTATGGTCATAAGTGTGTCTTTATCGTACACATTAGTTTTAAAAATATTCTTTATAAAACTTTCATAAATCGGAGACAAAAAATCTGAATGAAAATATTGAGGAAAAATTTGACAGAAATTTGAGACAAAAAAAAAGATTTAAAAAAAAAAATCGGATTATATTTCTCTCTCTCTCTGTCTAGCACAAGTTTCTGGTAATAAGTCTGTCTTTGTTCCACTCATTTGCTTTAGGAAATAATACCTAAAATAAAAAAATCAAAAAAGGGTAAAAAGAAAATTTGGAGAAACAATTCAATTTGTTCCAAAAAAAATTCCGAACTTGTCTGTCTTTGTTTAGCACACGCTCCTGGTCATAAGTTTGTCTTTGTCGCACACATTCGTTTTAAACAAAAAGTACCTCTATTAAATATTCTTCACAAAAATTTCATAAATCGGAGAGAAAAATCTGAGAGAAAATACTAAGGAAAAATTTGACAGAAATTTGGAACAAAAAAAAATGGATTTTTTCTTCAAAAAACTTCGGATTATGTCTCTCTCTCTCTCTGTTTAGCACGCGCTCCTAGTAATAAGTCTGTCTTTGTTCCCCACATTTGTTTTGTTTTAAGAAAAAATACCTAAAATGGAAAATCAGAAAAGGGCAAAAAAAAACTTTTATTTACAACCACATACGTAATGTTGACATTTCTGACTTTTCAAAAGTTTGAAAGTGACACTTTTTTGAATTTTACTTTCCACCCGGGTGGAAAGTGGTCCCGGGTGGAAAGTGCTCACTTTCCACCTGGGTGGAAAGTAAGTTCTCATTTCCTAAAATGTTTAAGGCGAGTCCTGCATGTCAAACGTTTTTTTAAATGAGTCAGAACTTGTCAACAAATTTTTAATTTTTTTTTTAGTATTTAGTCGAAATTATAAGGGTTGTAATTGTTGTAAATAAAATAGTATACAAACCTCGGTAGGAAGTTTCATTCCTGTCTCGAAATTATAGTTAACTTCGACGCTTCGCGTCTCAGTTAACTAACTAATCTCTCGACAGTAATGAAACACTTTCCACCTCGGTATGTAATATACTATGAAAACACAATTGAATTTTTTCCAAAAAAAATCCGACAATGTCTGTCTTTGTTTAGCACACGCTCCTGGTCATAAGTGTGTCTTTATCGCACACATTCGTTTAAAAAAAAAGTACCAAATATTCTCCACAAAAATTTCATAAATCGAAGACAAAAAATCTGAGTAAAAATACTAAGGAAAAATTTGACAGAAATTTGGGACAAATAAAATGGATTTTGTCTCTTTCTCTCTTTGTGTCTAGCACACGTAATAAGTCTGTCTTTGTTCCACTCATTTGTTTTAAGAAAAAATACCTAAAGTGGAAAATTAGAAAAGGGCAAAAAGAAAATTTCGAAAAACAATTCAATTTTTTCCAAAAAAATTCCGAATATGTCTGTCTTTCTTTAGTACAGGCTCATGGTCATAAGTGTGTCTTTGTCGCACACATTCGTTTTAAAAATATTCTTCACAAAAATTTCATAATTCGGAAACAAAAAATCTGAGTGAAAATACTTGGAAAAATTTGACAGAAATTTGAGACAAAAAAAAAAGGATTTAAAAAAAAAATCGGATTATGTTTTTCTCTTTCTCTCTCTCTGTCTAGCACACGCTTCTGGTGATAAGTCTGTCTTTGTTCCACTCATTTGTTTTAAGAAAAAATACCTAAAATGGAAAATCAGGAAAGGGCAAAAAGAAAATTTGGAAAAACAATTCAACTTTTTCCAAAAAAAATCCGAACATGTTTGTCTTTGTCGCACACATTCATAAAAAAAAGTACCAAATATTCTCCATAAAAATTTCATAAATTGAAGACAAAAAATTTGAATAAAAATACTAAGGAAAAATTTGACAGAAATTTGGAGAAAATAAAATGGATTTTTTTTCAAAAAAAAATTCGGATTATGCCTTTCTCTCTCTGTCTTGCACACGTTTCTGATAACAAGTCTGTCTTTATTCCACTCATTTATTTTGGGAAAAAATACCTAAAATGGAAAATCAAAAAAGGGCAAAAAGAAAATTTGGAAAAATAATTCAATTTTTTCCAATAAAAATCCGAACATGTCGGTCTTTGTTTAGCACACACTCCTGGTCATAAGTGTGTTTTTGTCGCACTCATTTGTGTTTAAAAAAAGCACCAAATATCTTCACAAAAGTTCATAAATCGGAGAAAGAAAAGAAAAATAAAGAGTGACTCAAAAATATAGTTAACTTTTGTATAATTCACATGACTGCGCAAATTGTGTTATAATGAACGTAACGGAATTCACTATATGTAATGACGTCATAACGAAAATGGGCGTACTTGCGCATGTTCGAATTTTTCAAATTTACTTTGCTTATCAATTGAATAAAAATCATTTTAATCAATAATACAAGCAACAAATAATTGTTAATAATTCTTTTATTTCAAAAAGCATTTAAAAAATTCAGGGCGAGTCTCAAATAAAAAACAAATTAACTTCCATTAAAACCCAATAATGCAATAATTACATTTTTATTTCTAAATTCAATTATTCTCTTTTAGACATTTAACCTCAAATTGCTCGGTTTTACTACTTCAAATTAAATTGATTTACGTGAGAAAAGTACACACATTCCATCTAATACCAATTTGTCCCATTTGACCAATTCAGTCGTGAGATGCTTTTACGCAATAATTGAAAATAAATATATTGTAATATAAGCCATCTGTATTGATTGAATCAAAGTTAACTTAAGTACCTCAGTCATTCAACAAGTAGAAAACTGTAATCGGTAATCGTACAATACGCTTCTAATAGATGGCGCTTCATATTAAACAAAAACAATATTTATAAAAAAATAAATTAAATATATTTACAACAATTAACAACTAATAATCTAAAAATGGGTACTAGATTTTTCAATTACATGAATGTAGAAATTCGGAATGTCGATTTCGTCCAGCGTTTTAAAATCTCCAAATATTCGGAATTTGGAATTTTCTCCGAAGGCTTGTTCCAACATGGCGGTGAAGATTTTCAAACGGTGAGGGTAGTAGGACAAGCGGAATTCACTAAAAAATGTCAGAGTTATATTAGGCCATCTTTGTTTTTCAAATAAATGAACTCACCTAATGGTGTCTTCGCAGCCAATCAAATCCTTTTGTTCTTTGTCTGAACTTAAATCGATTAAATAATCTAAGCTGACTAAAGCTGGCTTTCCACTGACGTACAATACTGATGTTCTGATGTCTGTTGTATGAGTAGGCTAAAAGAGAAAAATCAGTTAAAATACAAATTTAATTTTCAATAATTAAAATTCTTACATTGTAATAAATGCTTTTTGAAGCTGTAGAGCCACTGTTAATAATGTCATCGTAATTTCTGTGGTCGATTAACAAAAATCCACCTGGTTTGACGCATTTTTCGAAATTCCTTAAGGCTTGTCTACAAAAAAAAAATAGTAATAAAGTTGCCTCATTGCTATATGATAATTGTTTACTTTTGTTCCCTTTGGTCGCCATAGTTGTCCAATAAATGGGCGAAAGAGTTACCCAAGCAAATGACAGCATCAAATCCTTCGCCTACTAAATCTTCAATGTCGTCGTAGAGTGTCAGCCAATTTGCTTCTTCAATAACTAGAAGAAAAATTATTGCATTATAAATTGGTTCATAAATTTTAGAAATCTAAACGTACAAGTAAAGTGAACTTTACACTCGATTACGTAATTTCAATAAAACTAAGTTTTGCTAAATCTCAACTTACTCCATTTATCAAAAGCAGCATCCTTCCTCTTATTCCACCTGGACTTCAGAGCATACTTCAACATTTTATCAGAAGCATCTACGGAAACCACCTCAAAACCTTCTTCCACCAGCATTATCGAGTCGATTCCGGTACCACAAGCAACGTCCAACACCCTTTTGCAGCCCTTTTCTCTCAACATGCCGACCAAAAAGTTTTTGTAGTTTTGCGTCCTGGAATTTTTGTCGCCAATGAAAACTTCCCAAACTTTGGCGGCTTTTCCATCGGCGTATTGGTCTTTGACGCCTTCCACTGCGGCACCAAGGGATCTTGTTGTTATAACGTTTTCAGCCATGATTTTTAGACAATCTATTATTTTATAAATAATTAAATTTTGTTGTAAATAACAATTAGTTTGTACTCACTTACCTTTATAATGAGGAACAAAATTAATAATGCAAAGTTACTATTTTAAAAGTCACATTTTATACTAAACTATTACGTTAATTCATACTTAAGAGTGCCACACTTTTGTATACTTATCATCAAAATTCTTGAAGCTTTTATTATATTAAACTAAGAAATTATTATTGGGGCTCTTAAATTTATTTTGAAAAATTTCATCAGCTCCCGAAATGATTTGCAATTTAACATTTTTGTTTGTGTGATGATAACGAAAATTTCTTCTGTAATAGTGTGACTTCTCGGGTCAAAATTGAGATTAATGATTTTCGAGGGCAACGTTGTTTAGATGATACTGCAAATTAGCATAATGTGGAAAAAACCGGTTAAAATATGACTTTCGATTTATAACAATAATATTGTGGTAAAATTTATGGTTTTGTAATATAGATATTTTGGGATTTTGAAGATTAGTATTTAAAATTTACTTCTTTGTGACGTTTTCCAGGTTAATTGGAGTCATTTAAGACAATTTTCTCAGACTGTCTTCAGGTAATTTAAGTGAGATACCCTCCAATATATTAAGATATTTTCTCAAAGACGTAACATGGCTAGACAAAATAGTCTGGAGAGTTATTTCATACCTATTCGAATTCCAGCAATATTCTACATCGCATAATATAATAATATTCTTATGGAGTTCTCAAGTTAGGGAAGTTGGGCATAATCTTGCAACACCGTGCAATAGTTTAATGAATTATATAGAAATATTGGTGCATAAAAAATTTCAGAAAATTGTTTTTTTTTTACAAGCACGAGAGTATGTTTTTGGTGATGCAAAAATGCATATTCTATTATTTTTCTGGAAAACTGCTAAAGGGAAAATTGTGAAACTTTTAGAAGAAAAAGAGGAAAGTTAGGAGCTCGTCATAGTGAAATTTCAAACGTTTCCAGTGAAAAATAACATAATGGGAAATTATTGAAAATCTACTTACAAAATCAAAATTCAGCAAGAGTGCACTCTCTTACATTTTAATATTTTTCTGGAAAACTACTAAAGCGGCAATTGTGAAACTTTTAGGAGAAAAAGAGAAAAGTTAGGAACTCATCATAGTGAGATTTCAAACTTTTCCAGTGAAAAATAACATAATGGGAATTTATTGAAAATATACTTGCAAAATCTAAATTCAGCAAAAGTGCACCCTCTTACATTTTAATATTTTTCTGGAAAACTACTCAAGGGACAATTATGAAACTTTTAAAAGAGGAAGAGGAAAGTTGGGAGTTCATCCTAGTGAAATTTCAAACGTTTCCAGTAAAAAATACCATAATGGGAAATTATTGAAAATCTACTTGCAAAATCTAAATTTAGCAAAAGTGCACCCACTTATATTTTGATATTCTTCTGGAAAACTACTGAAGGAACAATTATGAAACTTTTAGGAGAAAAAAAAGAAAGTTAGGAGCTCATCATAGTAAAATTTCAAAATTTTCCTGTGAAAAATAACATAATAGAAAATTATTGGAAATCTACTTGCAAAATCTAAATTTAGCAAAATTGCACTCTTTTACATTTTAATATTTTTCTGGAAAACTTCTGAAGGGACAATTCTGAAACTTCTAGAAGAAAAAGAGGAAAGTTAGGAGCTCGTCATAGTGAAATTTCAAACTTTTCCAGTGAAAAATAACATAATGGGAATTTATTGAAAATATACTTGCAAAATCTAAATTCAGCAAAAATGCACTCTCTTACATTTTAATATTTTTCTGGAAAACTACCAAAGGGAGAATTGTGAAACTTTTAGAAGAAAAAAGAGGAAAGTTAGGAGCTCATCATAGTGAAATTCCAAACTTTTCCAGTGAAAAATAACATAATGGAAAATTATTGGAAATCTACTTGCAAAATCTAAATTCAGCAAAAGTGCACCCTCTTACACATTTTAATATTTTTCTGGAAAACTACTAAAGGGACAATTGTGAAACTTTTAGGAGAAAAAGAGGAAAGTTAGGAGCTCATCATAGTAAAATTTCAAAATTTTCCTGTGAAAAATAACATAATAGAAAATTATTGGAAATATACTTGCAAAATCTAAATTTAGTAAAATTGCACTCTTTTACATTTTAATATTTTTCTGGAAAACTTCTGAAGGGACAATTCTGAAACTTCTAGAAGAAAAAGAGGAAAGTTAGGAGCTCGTCATAGTGAAATTTCAAACTTTTCCAGTGAAAAATAACATAATGGGAGATTATTGAAAATCGACTTGCAAAATCTAAATTTAGCAAAAGTGCACCCACTTATATTTTGATTTTCTTCTGGAAAACTACTGAAGGAACAATTGTGAAACTTTTAGGAGAAAAAAAGGAAAGTTAGGAGCTCATCATAATAAAATTTCAAAATTTTCCTGTGAAAAATAACATAATAGAAAATTATTGGAAATCTACTTGCAAAATCTAAATTTAGCAAAATTGCACTCTTTTACATTTTAATATTTTTCTGGAAAACTTCTGAAGGGACAATTGTGAAACTTTTAGAAGAAAAAAAAGAGGAAAGTTAGGAGCTCGTTATAGTGAAATTTCAAACTTTTCCAGTGAAAAATACCATAATGGGAAATTATTGAAAATCTACTTGTAAAATCTAAATTTAGCAAAAGTGCACTCTCTTACATTTTGATATTTTTCTGAAAAACTACAAAAAGGAAAAATTATGAAACTTTTAGAAAAAAAAAGAGGAAAGTTAGGAACTCATCATAGTGAAATTTCAAATTTTTCCAGTGAAAAATAACATAATGGGAAATTATTGAAAATCTATTTGCAAAATCTAAATTTAGCAAAATTGCACTCTTTTACATTTTAGTATTTTTCTGGAAAACTTCTGAAGGGACAATTGTGAAACTTCTAGAAGAAAAAGAGGAAAGTTAGAAGCTCGTCATAGTGAAATTTCAAACTTTTCCAGTGAAAAATAACATAATGGGAATTTATTGAAAATATACTTGCAAAATCTAAATTCAGCAAAAATGCACTCTCTTACATTTTAATATTTTTCTGGAAAACTAGTAAAGGGACAATTGTGAAACTTTTAGGAGAAAAAAAGGAAAGTTAAGAGCTCATCATAATAAAATTTCAAAATTTTCCTGTGAAAAATAACATAATAGAAAATTATTGGAAATCTACTTGCAAAATCTAAATTTAGCAAAATTGCACTCTTTTACATTTTAGTATTTTTCTGGAAAACTTCTGAAGGGACAATTGTGAAACTTCTAGAAGAAAAAGACGAAAGTTAGGAGCTCGTCATAGTGAAATTTCAAACTTTTCCAGTGAAAAATAACATAATGGGAATTTATTGAAAATATACTTGCAAAATCTAAATTCAGCAAAAATGCACTCTCTTACATTTTAATATTTTTCTGGAAAACTACTAAAGGGACAATTGTGAAACTTTTAGGAGAAAAAGAGGAAAGTTAGGACCTCATCATAGTAAAATTTCAAAATTTTCCTGTGAAAAATAACATAATAGAAAATTATTGGAAATCTACTTGCAAAATCTAAATTTAGCAAAATTGCACTCTTTTACATTTTAGTATTTTTCTGGAAAACTTCTGAAGGGACAATTGTGAAACTTCTAGAAGAAAAAGACGAAAGTTAGGAGCTCGTCATAGTGAAATTTCAAACTTTTCCAGTGAAAAATAACATAATGGGAATTTATTGAAAATATACTTGCAAAACCTAAATTCAGCAAAAATGCACTCTCTTACATTTTAATATTTTTCTGGAAAACTAGTAAAGGGACAATTGTGAAACTTTTAGGAGACAAAAAGGAAAGTTAAGAGCTCATCATAATAAAATTTCAAAATTTTCCTGTGAAAAATAACATAATAGAAAATTATTGGAAATCTACTTGCAAAATCTAAATTTAGCAAAATTGCACTCTTTTACATTTTAGTATTTTTCTGGAAAACTTCTGAAGGGACAATTGTGAAACTTCTAGAAGAAAAAAAGGAAAGTTAGGAGCTCGTCATAGTGAAATTTCAAACTTTTCCAGTGAAAAATAACATAATGGGAATTTATTGAAAATATACTTGCAAAATCTAAATTCAGCAAAAATGCACTCTCTTACATTTTAATATTTTTCTGGAAAACTACTAAAGGGACAATTGTGAAACTTTTAGGAGAAAAAGAGGAAAGTTAGGACCTCATCATAGTAAAATTTCAAAATTTTCCTGTGAAAAATAACATAATAGAAAATTATTGGAAATCTACTTGCAAAATCTAAATTTAGCAAAATTGCACTCTTTTACATTTTAGTATTTTTCTGGAAAACTTCTGAAGGGACAATTGTGAAACTTCTAGAAGAAAAAGACGAAAGTTAGGAGCTCGTCATAGTGAAATTTCAAACTTTTCCAGTGAAAAATAACATAATGGGAATTTATTGAAAATATACTTGCAAAACCTAAATTCAGCAAAAATGCACTCTCTTACATTTTAATATTTTTCTGGAAAACTAGTAAAGGGACAATTGTGAAACTTTTAGGAGACAAAAAGGAAAGTTAAGAGCTCATCATAATAAAATTTCAAAATTTTCCTGTGAAAAATAACATAATAGAAAATTATTGGAAATCTACTTGCAAAATCTAAATTTAGCAAAATTGCACTCTTTTACATTTTAGTATTTTTCTGGAAAACTTCTGAAGGGACAATTGTGAAACTTCTAGAAGAAAAAAAGGAAAGTTAGGAGCTCGTCATAGTGAAATTTCAAACTTTTCCAGTGAAAAATAACATAATGGGAATTTATTGAAAATATACTTGCAAAATCTAAATTCAGCAAAAATGCACTCTCTTACATTTTAATATTTTTCTGGAAAACTACTAAAGGGACAATTGTGAAACTTCTAAAAGAGAAAGAGGAAAGTTAGGAGCTCATCATAGTAAAATTTCAAAATTTTCCTGTGAAAAATAACATAATAGAAAATTATTGGAAATCTACTTGCAAAATCTAAATTTAGCAAAATTGCACTCTTTTACATTTTAGTATTTTTCTGGAAAACTTCTGAAGGGACAATTGTGAAACTTCTAGAAGAAAAAGACGAAAGTTAGGAGCTCGTCATAGTGAAATTTCAAACTTTTCCAGTGAAAAATAACATAATGGGAAATTATTGAAAATCTACTTACAAAATCAAAATTCAGCAAGAGTGCACTCTCTTACATTTTAATATTTTTCTGGAAAACTACTAAAGCGGCAATTGTGAAACTTTTAGGAGAAAAAGAGAAAAGTTAGGAACTCATCATAGTGAGATTTCAAACTTTTCCAGTGAAAAATAACATAATGGGAATTTATTGAAAATATACTTGCAAAATCTAAATTCAGCAAAAGTGCACCCTCTTACATTTTAATATTTTTCTGGAAAACTACTCAAGGGACAATTATGAAACTTTTAAAAGAGGAAGAGGAAAGTTGGGAGTTCATCCTAGTGAAATTTCAAACGTTTCCAGTAAAAAATACCATAATGGGAAATTATTGAAAATCTACTTGCAAAATCTAAATTTAGCAAAAGTGCACCCACTTATATTTTGATATTCTTCTGGAAAACTACTGAAGGAACAATTATGAAACTTTTAGGAGAAAAAAAAGAAAGTTAGGAGCTCATCATAGTAAAATTTCAAAATTTTCCTGTGAAAAATAACATAATAGAAAATTATTGGAAATCTACTTGCAAAATCTAAATTTAGCAAAATTGCACTCTTTTACATTTTAATATTTTTCTGGAAAACTTCTGAAGGGACAATTCTGAAACTTCTAGAAGAAAAAGAGGAAAGTTAGGAGCTCGTCATAGTGAAATTTCAAACTTTTCCAGTGAAAAATAACATAATGGGAATTTATTGAAAATATACTTGCAAAATCTAAATTCAGCAAAAATGCACTCTCTTACATTTTAATATTTTTCTGGAAAACTACCAAAGGGAGAATTGTGAAACTTTTAGAAGAAAAAAGAGGAAAGTTAGGAGCTCATCATAGTGAAATTCCAAACTTTTCCAGTGAAAAATAACATAATGGAAAATTATTGGAAATCTACTTGCAAAATCTAAATTCAGCAAAAGTGCACCCTCTTACACATTTTAATATTTTTCTGGAAAACTACTAAAGGGACAATTGTGAAACTTTTAGGAGAAAAAGAGGAAAGTTAGGAGCTCATCATAGTAAAATTTCAAAATTTTCCTGTGAAAAATAACATAATAGAAAATTATTGGAAATATACTTGCAAAATCTAAATTTAGTAAAATTGCACTCTTTTACATTTTAATATTTTTCTGGAAAACTTCTGAAGGGACAATTCTGAAACTTCTAGAAGAAAAAGAGGAAAGTTAGGAGCTCGTCATAGTGAAATTTCAAACTTTTCCAGTGAAAAATAACATAATGGGAGATTATTGAAAATCGACTTGCAAAATCTAAATTTAGCAAAAGTGCACCCACTTATATTTTGATTTTCTTCTGGAAAACTACTGAAGGAACAATTGTGAAACTTTTAGGAGAAAAAAAGGAAAGTTAGGAGCTCATCATAATAAAATTTCAAAATTTTCCTGTGAAAAATAACATAATAGAAAATTATTGGAAATCTACTTGCAAAATCTAAATTTAGCAAAATTGCACTCTTTTACATTTTAATATTTTTCTGGAAAACTTCTGAAGGGACAATTGTGAAACTTTTAGAAGAAAAAAAAGAGGAAAGTTAGGAGCTCGTTATAGTGAAATTTCAAACTTTTCCAGTGAAAAATACCATAATGGGAAATTATTGAAAATCTACTTGTAAAATCTAAATTTAGCAAAAGTGCACTCTCTTACATTTTGATATTTTTCTGAAAAACTACAAAAAGGAAAAATTATGAAACTTTTAGAAAAAAAAAGAGGAAAGTTAGGAACTCATCATAGTGAAATTTCAAATTTTTCCAGTGAAAAATAACATAATGGGAAATTATTGAAAATCTATTTGCAAAATCTAAATTTAGCAAAATTGCACTCTTTTACATTTTAGTATTTTTCTGGAAAACTTCTGAAGGGACAATTGTGAAACTTCTAGAAGAAAAAGAGGAAAGTTAGAAGCTCGTCATAGTGAAATTTCAAACTTTTCCAGTGAAAAATAACATAATGGGAATTTATTGAAAATATACTTGCAAAATCTAAATTCAGCAAAAATGCACTCTCTTACATTTTAATATTTTTCTGGAAAACTAGTAAAGGGACAATTGTGAAACTTTTAGGAGAAAAAAAGGAAAGTTAAGAGCTCATCATAATAAAATTTCAAAATTTTCCTGTGAAAAATAACATAATAGAAAATTATTGGAAATCTACTTGCAAAATCTAAATTTAGCAAAATTGCACTCTTTTACATTTTAGTATTTTTCTGGAAAACTTCTGAAGGGACAATTGTGAAACTTCTAGAAGAAAAAGACGAAAGTTAGGAGCTCGTCATAGTGAAATTTCAAACTTTTCCAGTGAAAAATAACATAATGGGAATTTATTGAAAATATACTTGCAAAACCTAAATTCAGCAAAAATGCACTCTCTTACATTTTAATATTTTTCTGGAAAACTACTAAAGGGACAATTGTGAAACTTTTAGGAGAAAAAGAGGAAAGTTAGGACCTCATCATAGTAAAATTTCAAAATTTTCCTGTGAAAAATAACATAATAGAAAATTATTGGAAATCTACTTGCAAAATCTAAATTTAGCAAAATTGCACTCTTTTACATTTTAGTATTTTTCTGGAAAACTTCTGAAGGGACAATTGTGAAACTTCTAGAAGAAAAAGACGAAAGTTAGGAGCTCGTCATAGTGAAATTTCAAACTTTTCCAGTGAAAAATAACATAATGGGAATTTATTGAAAATATACTTGCAAAACCTAAATTCAGCAAAAATGCACTCTCTTACATTTTAATATTTTTCTGGAAAACTAGTAAAGGGACAATTGTGAAACTTTTAGGAGACAAAAAGGAAAGTTAAGAGCTCATCATAATAAAATTTCAAAATTTTCCTGTGAAAAATAACATAATAGAAAATTATTGGAAATCTACTTGCAAAATCTAAATTTAGCAAAATTGCACTCTTTTACATTTTAGTATTTTTCTGGAAAACTTCTGAAGGGACAATTGTGAAACTTCTAGAAGAAAAAAAGGAAAGTTAGGAGCTCGTCATAGTGAAATTTCAAACTTTTCCAGTGAAAAATAACATAATGGGAATTTATTGAAAATATACTTGCAAAATCTAAATTCAGCAAAAATGCACTCTCTTACATTTTAATATTTTTCTGGAAAACTACTAAAGGGACAATTGTGAAACTTTTAGGAGAAAAAGAGGAAAGTTAGGACCTCATCATAGTAAAATTTCAAAATTTTCCTGTGAAAAATAACATAATAGAAAATTATTGGAAATCTACTTGCAAAATCTAAATTTAGCAAAATTGCACTCTTTTACATTTTAGTATTTTTCTGGAAAACTTCTGAAGGGACAATTGTGAAACTTCTAGAAGAAAAAGACGAAAGTTAGGAGCTCGTCATAGTGAAATTTCAAACTTTTCCAGTGAAAAATAACATAATGGGAATTTATTGAAAATATACTTGCAAAACCTAAATTCAGCAAAAATGCACTCTCTTACATTTTAATATTTTTCTGGAAAACTACTAAAGGGACAATTGTGAAACTTTTAGGAGAAAAAGAGGAAAGTTAGGAGCTCATCATAGTAAAATTTCAAAATTTTCTTGTGAAAAATAACATAATAGAAAATTATTGGAAATCTACTTGCAAAATCTAAATTTAGCAAAATTGCACTCTTTTACATTTTAGTATTTTTCTGGAAAACTTCTGAAGGGACAATTCTGAAACTTCTAGAAGAAAAAGAGGAAAGTTAGGAGCTCGTCATAGTGAAATTTCAAACGTTTCCAGTGAAAAATAACGTAATGGGAAATTATTGAAAATCTACTTACAAAATCTAAATTCAGCAAAAGTGCACCCTCTTACACATTTTAATATTTTTCTGGAAAACTACTAAAGGGACAATTGTGAAACTTTTAGGAGAAAAAGAGGAAAGTTAGGAGCTCGTCATAGTGAAATTTCAAACTTTTCCAGTGAAAAATAACGTAATGGGAAATTATTGAAAATCGACTTGCAAAATCGAGATTCAGCAAAAGTGCACTCTCTAACATTTTAATATTTTTCTAGAAAACTACTGAAGGAAAAATTGTGAAACTTTTAGAAAAAAAAAGAGGAAAGTGACGGAACTCATCATAGTGAAATTTCAAACTTTTGCAGTGAAAAATAACATAATGGGAAATTATTGAAAATCTACTTGCAAAATCTAAATTCAGCAAAAGTGCACCCTCTTACACATTTTAATATTTTTCTGGAAAACTACTAAAGGGACAATTGTGAAACTTTTAGGAGAAAAAGAGGAAAGTTAGGAGCACATCATAGTGAAAATTCAAACTTTTCCAGTGAAAAATAACATAATGGGAATTTCTTGAAAATCTACTTACAAAATCTAAATTCAGCAAAAATGCACCCTCTTACATTTTAATATTTTTCTGGAAAACTACTAAAGGGACAATTGTGAAACTTCTAAAAGAGAAAGAGGAAAGTTGGGAGTTCATCCTAGTGAAATTTCAAACGTTTCCAGTAAAAAATACCATAATGGGAAATTATTGAAAATCTACTTGCAAAATCTAAATTTAGCAAAATTGCACTCTTTTACATTTTAGTATTTTTCTGGAAAACTTCTGAAGTGACAATTGTGAAACTTCTAGAAGAAAAAGACGAAAGTTAGGAGCTCGTCATAGTGAAATTTCAAACTTTTCCAGTGAAAAATAACATAATGGGAATTTATTGAAAATATACTTGCAAAACCTAAATTCAGCAAAAATGCACTCTCTTACATTTTAATATTTTTCTGGAAAACTACTAAAGGGACAATTGTGAAACTTTTAGGAGAAAAAGAGGAAAGTTAGGAGCTCATCATAGTAAAATTTCAAAATTTTCTTGTGAAAAATAACATAATAGAAAATTATTGAAAATCTACTTGCAAAATCTAAATTTAGCAAAATTGCACTCTTTTACATTTTAGTATTTTTCTGGAAAACTTCTGAAGT